AGTGTCATCGATGCAACGAACATGAAGTTGAGCCAACTTCAGAGGACGGCGGAAGACCGGAAGGCCTGGCGAGAGTTCGTCCATGGGGTCGCGAAGAGTCGGACTCGACTGTGTGACTGAACAACAACAACAACAACAGGTTGAGACAAAAGTGGTGATGTAGGAATCATCATCTGGATTTGAATATTTCTCCAAAATTTTGTCTAGGATCCAATAATCTTTGACTTTTTCTAGCCATTCTGGAATTGTTGGTGGCGTTGCATTTTTCCATTTGCAGGCAATTACAGCTTTCGCTGTTGCACAAAGCTTAGTTATTAATAATTTGTGATGAAACAGAATTTTACAACCAATCCATGAGTCTAGTAATAGGAAGTCAGCTCTGTAAGAGATGGTTTCCTTAGTTATCTTGCAAATATAGTTGCAGACTTGCCACTAAAACCCCTGTAAGAAGGAACAGTCTCATGAATAATGGCTATAATTACTGACACCTTCACAGCCCTTCTAACATTATGAAGGTTGCCAGGAGAGATCTTATTAAGTTTTAAAGGAGAATAGTGCCACCTTGCAATTAGCTTAAATGACATAGCTTTAATGGACAAGTCTGCGAAGCAGAGACTGGGAGAGTGCCAAATGGAGTCCCAGCTATTTGTAGATAAGGGTATGATGTTTTCTTTATTCCATTGGTCAATATATTTAGGTGGCAAAGTTGACAATGTGGATAGTAGAATGTTGTGAATTTTGGATAGAATGCCCTTAGTTATAGGTATTTAAGCAAAGTAATCCCAAAGGTTGTTGGTGCTGTTTGTGCTTTGTGGTGGACTGGGCCTGTGTCAGCTGGCGAGCCCCACCTTGCCCACCCATCCTTTGCCTGATCTGGCATCTAAAAGGGTCGTTTCACTCCTCTGCCTCAGGGTATTGCTGCCACCACTGTCCCTGTCTTGGGCTCTGGTTAGGTGGACAGCCTCCTAACTTCCCTCTGGTGTCACTAGGAATCCACCTCAGGACTTCCCAGGAATATTTGGGGCTCCCCTAGAGATTTGGCAACTGACTGTTTTGCCACTTTTCTCCTCAGGGATTCCCTGACCCATTCCTAGCATTGCCAAGTGGCTGGAGGAACTATGTGGTACAGAGGGACTTCACTCCTTCAACAGTTAAAGGATTTATTTAAAACTCTCAACTATATACAGGCACATCAGAAGTGAATGGAAGAAACAAAATAATGTTGACAAAAATGCTTCATCTCTCCCCTGGGCTAAACTCATGCCCTATCTGGTGGTATGCCACACAGGTACATTACTTCGTTACTCTGGAGTAAGCTGGACAAACATGTCTCCCAAGATAGCCTCTGTTTCTGGCCTGGGAACGGGACTATGCTTGCTTCTGTCTCTTGCAGACTGCAACCAACTGCTGACTTCCGACTGGCTTCCCGCCCAAAACTCAATAATATAAAAAGCAGTTCCCACTCCTACAGCATTCTGGGGAAGATCTCCTCATTACCTTGATGGAGTTCCTGTCCTCTCTAGGGAGCTGCCCTCAGATTACTGGTTGGAGACAGGAGGGAAGGGGGGGAATGAGGAGATTAGGCCAAGGCCTACCTAAAATTTAATTGTCTCCTCCCATCCAGCCCACACAACGTTAAACCTACACACAAAATGTCATTTCTCCAAATACTTGAGAAGCGTGAACAGATTTTGAACACTTGTGTACACCTTGGGTACCAGCCATTTAAGCCTACAAAAAAAATTGTGTTCCATAATGATCTCCATATTGGTTTAGAAGTGATCTTAAGAGTTCTTCCACCTGGTAGTTTTGACAGTCCTGCAGCCCTGATGTGCTTGTGATGTAACCACCACTATTTACTCCCTTGCCCTTACTCATCTGTACTTTAAACAGAGTTGTCGAATTCCATGGGCTTTGCAGATGGCATGGTTAGACATGTGCTTTCATTGGAGGAGGGGCGATGGAGTAGCAAGGTGGTCGGAGAATCCAGAGCTCTGGATCTCACCAACCTTTGGAGTCTTTTTAGGGGACTTTCTTGACATTTCTGGACTCCTCCAGATTTGACAAGGGTCCACCAGTTCCTCAGGAAACTGGAAGCAGAAGACTTAAACTGAGCTCCCTGTTTGCGGCAACAACAGGTGAAGTTTCAGTTTGTCTTGAAGCAGACGCTCCAGAAGGACCGGTCATGCAGTTCGCGGCTGGAAAGCTACATCAAGCCCCCAAAAGAGCCTCCATACCTCGCCACAAATCATCTTGGCGAAGACTCCGTAAGCATCCTTATCTTCTACTTTAATTGTTAAGCCCGTAAACAGACACTAAACAAATCAGATTGTTGCTGTTAATGAGCTTTTCAATTTACTTATTCAGTGATTCAGATAAGTAGATTTAAGAGGTAATGATCCTGTTTAGCACTCAAGCTTTGCTGTCAGATTGTAGCAGTTGAGGGAAATCTCCTGGGACGAGTGTTGACACAGATCTTGATGGGATAATAGGAATCAAAGCTAATGCATGATAAAAGGAGTAGTAAGAGCTATAAGGATAACTGTGGATTAAAGGAATGCTCTTTAAGTGTGACGGCTCTTCCAGTGTTTTTATTTGTTAAACCCTGATCTGAATGCTAATTGACAATAGGGCAAAACACTACTATAGTACATTTTCTCTTGTTCTTTTTTACCATCTGGTTTTTGTTTGGATCATGGACACTGATTTGTGTTATGCAATAATTTTAGAAGACCGTATAATATATATGGTGGTATTTTAGTAGGAACAGCTGCTGCAGAATCCATCACAAGAATAGAGGAGTGCTTAACAGTTAAGGTGAAATATTTTTATCGGGCCAAATTTGGTATGAAAACTGTACTTAATTCTTGAACCTGATTTACATGACTATTTGATATCCGATTGATTTATTAATATAATCTGAAGCAAAGGATTCTAATCCCTACATTATCTTGAATGATTAATGAAAGCTAAAGATATGGGCAGTCTGAAATTTTAGAGAGGATAAGTGGAAGTAGCACTCTTTGACAGTTTGTATAATTTTAAATGGTTGAAGGGATAATGATCTACTGAAACTGGAACTTTTAGGCTGTTGAGAACTATTTATCTATTATGTGTTTCTACACCTGATTTACATTGTTATTTGATACCCAATTGATTTATGAATATAACGTGAAGTGTACCTCCAACTTTTGCATTGTCCTGACTGACTAATGAAAGCTATAAAACATGGACTTTTAATTTGAAATAATTTATTCTCTGGACATGTAATGTCCTAATTGAAGGAGGATGAAAAGATATGGGCAGTCTGAATTTTTAGAGAGGAATTGCAGGGGAAATATAATTAAAGGGTTACTTATTTAGAGAGAAGACCAGATGTTTCAGGACAAGGTGAAAGCTATATGGTAGGGAAAATATAACATATTATGTTTAGGCCTGGTAGTTAATGGGATTTTGAAAACTAACAGTGTTAAAAATGTGAAAGAATATTTAAAGGGAAATATATGCTTTCTTTAGCATAGTTAAACTGATAAGTTATGACTGTTTCTTTTCTGTTGTTTTTATATTGACTTAAAATAGAATAATAATAGTATAAAAAATAAAGGTAAAGGTTCCCTTGCACGAAAGCCAGTCGAATCCGACTCTAGGGTTGCGGTGCTCATCTCCATTTCAAAGCCGAAGAACCAGCGCTGTCCGAAGACGTTTCCGTGGTCATGTGGCCGGCATGACTAAACACCAAGGCGCACGGAACGCTGTTACCTTCCCACCAAAGTGGTACCTATTTATCTACTTGCAATTTCTTGCTTTCGAACTGCTAGGTTGGCAGGAGCTGGAACTAGAGACAGGAGCTCACCCCGTCTTGCGGCACCCGGGTCTTGAACTGCTGAACTACTGACCTTCCACAGCCTGCAGTTCAGCGTCTTAACCACTTGAGCCACCGCAGCTCCACTAATAATAGTATAGTACTGATAAAATGAAATATAGCAGATAGAATATTGATGAATTGGTTTTACAAAGGGAATAGATACTTGGTTTAATAGTGTATGTTATTGAATACAAAATAAAACAAGGGGAGGAAATGGGAAGCTGTATGCAAATATGATGATGTAAGCGAGATATTCGGCTTGCTATTTTAAAATGTATGGCTCTTTTCCATGTAACTTGTTAAAAAATAATAATAAACTTTGCCCAATCTGGGCAAGTAAAAAAAAAAAAAAAAAAAAAGACATGCTTTCATTGTGGTTAAAAATGTACTTTTTAAAAAGTTCTTATTTTGTCCACTTTTTACATTTCCTGGTTTATACAAGTATGCCGAACTGATAGCATCATGTAATGTTGAGTGATGTCCTTATTGGCCCTTCTCTTGTGTTCCCCTTAAGAAAAGCTTCCTGGACGAGAGCTCTTTGGGATTGTCAAAATGAATAAAATGGGTTCCTAGTGAAGAGAAGGAGTTTGAACATATAAAGAAAGAACAAATACACCAGGCATTAACCAGAATCTCTAAACCCACAGCTTCTGTCCTTCCCATACATATAGACTTATTTGAATCACGGGAGTCCATCTAAGTGTACAAGTATCTTGGAAATCAGTTTGGGTTTGCATAATAATAGCCTCGCCAAACATCTGGGATGCTTAAACTGAAAGTTTTAACCCCTGCTGATATCAAATCATTACCATGTAACTTTCCATTCCTCTTCACTGCTTATCCATTTAATCGAAATGCATTGTTTCTTCATGCATGCTATTGGAATGAACAAATGAGAGAATGCAAGCTGCCTGAAATGTGATTCCAGCCCAGAGTGAATGTCTCCCTTAATATGGCTAGCAGTGCTTCCCAGTGCTAGGCACATTTCTTGATTACAAACTATATATTTTTATTTGTTTCCTCCCTACCTCTTTTTTGTTGTTGCTTTGTTTTCCACGGTCTTTTGGTTGGGTTTTGAATTATGCCTGCTTCTTTACTGCTCTTTGTTTTTGTTTTTCCATTCTTCTCATTGGAGGCAATGAGCCGTCCAGCGGTCGGAACTCCCCTGCCCCTTACCGGCCAGACAGCCGCCCTCTAACACCAACTTACGCTCAGGCCCCTAAACATTTCCATGTTCCAGGTAGGAGCTGGCACTGTTGTGAGTCTTGATGTCCTGTCATAGTGTAGACCGTAACCTTTGTAACCTTTTGTCTTGTCTCCATTATTCCATGCTGTACTTCTTTAGTTTGTTTTTGAGTATACCATAATGTTTCTGAAACATGGAGCTTATTTGTTTGCTTTGAGAGAAATCAGGAAATGCTGACTTTGGTGAGATTTTTGAGGCTTAAAATTAATCAGACAATTGGAAAAGGAAGATGCACTATGATACAATAAAGGCACTGCATGCAGGACCAAAGTCTATTTTTTTCCTAACACCAGAGTAACACCATAGGAATTCCACGTGTTAGCTGCTGTCTTTCATAACTTTAAGGGACAGGTGGGATTCAGGCACTTATCCATTGTTTTGCATTTTTGTCTCACAATAAATGTGACTTTCTGTTTGGAAACACGTATCTTAGACAGATAAGGCCTAGAAGGTATGTTGATGCTTCTTGGTAAGCTTATTGTGGGCCCACAGTTTGTAGACTGCTTCCTGAAGAAATTCAAAAATTTGCATAACAACTGTAGTACAATATGATTGCATAGTGAGTTTCACAGTATCTACTTTATTTCTGTACACTTTCTATTAGATAAGGGTTTTTCCCCTGCTATAATGCCTGAGTTTGGCCTTGTATATATAATACGCTCTCCTTTTAATGTATGGGCTGCTACTAATACTACTTATAGCACAACCTGGTAACTATTTTCCACATAAGGCTTAATATAACATCTGTTTTTTATATTCCATCTACATCTTATTCTCAATAGAAGCAAATAACCCCTATGTACGATACAAAAGTGTTCTGTAGAACATTCCTTTTCTTAGAAGAAAGGGAATGAATGGTGGGTAGATACATAATTACATTTCTCAGAGGAAAAATGTAAATCTAAAAATTATAAATATTCTTAAAACAGAGGCAGGCAATGGCAAACCCCTTCTGTTCATCTCTTGCCTTGAAAACCCCATGAGGGGTTATGATAAGTCAGCTGCGACTTGACAGCACTTTCCATCGCCATCAAGTTCTTAAAACCATTTGAGATCTCTGTCTATATATTACATGCCAGTATTATATTGCTGGTTGAGTGAGTCTGTTTTTCTCTTTGCCATACCAGATGTGTACTGGAAGTTCCATATTCAGGGTTTCCAGTGATCTTTTAAAGTTAATTTTCAGGTATGTAGAAATCCAATTAACTCCCCAATGCTGTTTTTCTGACCTGAATTTATCCAAGAAAGGAGCAGTAGCAGATTTCCTGGAGCCCTTTCAGATGGCAAAAACAGCTCCAAAAAGAAGACTGAAATTCCCTCTCCCTGTGTGCCATGGTCTCAATTCTAATTGGGCCCTCACTTGCCTGAGAATTAACTTTTAAATATCGCTGAGACCTCCAAATATTGAATTGCCTGAACACATATGATTTGGCCCTCTGTCTTGGATCTCTCTTCTTTTAATGTACTTGGAGCTGATAGATGTGACTGTTTATACCAGTAGTGGCATTTTCTCTGACACATGTTAGATGAAGAGGTTTCTTTAACAGCTGGTCTAGACCTGTCAGCGTATTTGCCTTTATTGTCATGGGTTTCTAAGACAAAGCTTAATGGACTCATTCATATTGTGGCTATTTACTATAAGCCCAACTGTTTACTATAGATGGCAATAGCTAAGACCCTTACTTATATTTTCTAGCCCTTACATCAGATGACATTAACTGGCTTGCAGCAATATGCCTAGTATAAGATGTGTGCTCTAGTCTGTACAGTACATGCACTCTCAATTGACCTAACAGTATTTACATTTTTTCTCTGTTTAAACGTGAATGGGGAAGTCTCTTAAACAAAACAATATTTCTTCGAAATATTACACTACCAGTTTTTTTCACTACCTCTTACTTTCCAAGAAGCCTCTTTGACATCTCGTTTGTGTTATTAAGTTTCTATGGCCTTGTGTTTCTATATTTAAGAACATGGACCTTTTCTTGAAGAAAAATATATCCAAGCAAATATTTAAAAATAAAATGGCCCCATGCTAGTATACTGTATTAGACTTCTAGCCAAAAATTATATGCCACACAATGCTCCTGACAATGAACTTGTGCTTTTCGTGGTGTCAGTTGGCTTTATCACCAGGCCAGTTAGCCTGGCATGAAACATCCAGCAGACTCCACACAGTTGTGTTCATGACTATTTTTCAGAATGGCAGATTAGGAACCATGTTCTGAAGCTTTAAATGTAAAAGCGTCTCATTCCTACATGTGATATCCCTCTCCTGGGCTGAAGGGAAAATTGAGCTACTGTTGCTCAGTATTCCAGGAGTCATTTTGGATCTTAGTGTTCTGCCAAATTTTTCTATCTTACCTGTGGTATATCTTCTTTGGCTGCATTTCCTCTGAAATGATTATCCAGCTGATAACCTACTGAGATCTCAAACTGAGTGGCTTACACCTTAGATACATCACCATGGTGCCCACCAACTATATATGTCAAAGATTTCACATCATATGTCTGTGATATTTTCCCATCTGTTTTTATGTTTTGTTTTTATCAAAGTATTTTGTGTAATACAACACTTAGCTTTCTAGATTTTGTGCCAAATCCGTGGTTTGGTATATCCATTATCTTTGGTGTTTGGTTTCTTCTCCTTCCGTCCAAAGTGGTAGATGAAATCCAAATGTTAATATGTTTCTGCTTTTTATTTTAACAGATCAAGGCATCAATATTTATAGAAAACCACCTATCTACAAACAACATGGTAAACCTTATTCTTTCTGTCTTCAATGCTGGGCAATCCAATATATTAAATATCTGCATGACAAGACAGTAATCTTATCCAGTGCTTTGTGTTCATGTTAACATAATGCATCAGCTGATTGTTCCATGCTTTTTAAGATACACATTTTTGTTTCTTTTTTATTTTTCTGTTGTAGACAGAATGTTCTTTGGAAGATGCAAGTAAACATTAGAGGGCTTGTTTCTTTAGACATAATTTTTCACAATGTGGGTATACATGGCTAGATTGATTCACAGAATCCTGTTTGTTGACAAGAAAGGCACAACATATGTCATAGTGGCCCTAGTTTCAGGCATATAAACTCACTCTATTTTCTATGTCAGAATAGAAAGATTTTTTTTTTAAAATAACATTCCAAATGCAAATTGACTTATATACCTAGAAGTGTCGAAAGCAGTATATCTCATGAAACTATTGTATATAGTAAAGCAGCAAAGATTATTCTTCCTTCTATTATTTAAAATGTAATAGTATGTGCTGAAATAACATTTTATTGGTCTTTAAGGTATCACATGATTCCTGTTTGCTTTTTTCTTCAATAACCTAACATGGGTATTCCTCTAGTATCATTTTTGCTAGTTTTAAAGGATTCTGTGGGGAGAAATGAGAGTTGAGGAAATGTTTTCCCTCAATCCTCTTAGCTTAATTTTCTCCCCATTTTAAGCTCCAAGCTAACTTTCACCTCCACTGGCTGAGATCACATGCCTATGCACAGGTCTTTGCTTCCAACATTCCAGCATGAGATCAATATGTTTGGGCAGTCCTCAGCACCTGTTGGCGTAGTGAGTCTACATGAGTTCATGTTTTTAAAATCATGATATTCCATCCTGATAAGAAGGCACAGCTCTTGGCCTGACACATAGGTCTTGTGAGTACTCATGGGGCATAAACCAGCAAGCAAGTTCATCTCTTGCCCAACCTTTTTTCATTTTACTGAGGCTTGTAAAGGAACAAGTCTTCTTTCCATTGTGCCTGTATGTTTCTCTGATACTAAGAAAACAGACTGAGCTTAGAGTTGAGATAGAGCCGATAAGAATCTGCCTTCTGGGCTGGGGCTCAGCATTAAAATGCCTGAAATAAAACAGGATGTGTCTTTGAACATGTGCCCAAGAGCCATTCTCTTCCCAAACCAGTAATTGCAGCTAGTCCCCAAACATCTGGAATAAGGGCTTAAATATCAATTTGTAAGTCTTCACAGCAGTCTTCAATTTACAGCACATTTTCCATTAAGAAATTAAGCACTGGCAATATATATTTTAGAATATTCTGAGAGAATTGTGTTAGTCTTTGATTAAAATACACAGTTGTTATGTGGTCATTGAGGACTTGTAGGAGAAAAGCTAGAAAGATGTAGAAGTCTCAGGTCATTTTGAGAGTATAGCATGTAACAGATTCTCAAGGGCTAGTGGTATTCCTATTAATATGATTAATATTTAACTTTCATTTTAATCATGTCATTTAAGCTTTTTCTTAACATTTATTTTTATTTCTTTATGATTTGTATTGTGTCCATTCACCTCCCATTTACATATGAATGTTTTACCACTGACCTCATCAATTCTAATATGTAAGTATTGTTTGAAGTCATGCTTTTGTAGTACCCTGAGTTACAACCCATGAAAGTTTTACAGTTTGCCTATACATACCCCTTTAACATGAAAGGGAGCTGCAGTGGGTCCATAGTGTAAAGGACGTGTGTAGTGTCTATTTTGCTATATTTTTGCAGATGTTTTCAGTTAATTGAGGTCCTTTTGAACAATAATTATTACATGTTTTATATTAGCACTTTCCACAAAAATCAGTAAGTATGCTGCTATTTCTCACTAGTCCTTCCCTCAAAGATATTCTTCTGTGGTTGGAATACTACATTTTCTACAATTAGCAGCAGGGCTTTTTTCCCCTGGGGGAACGCACCAGAATGGAGTTCTGGAACCTCTTTGACAAAATTCTTTTTAAAATATTTAAACGTTCTTGAGTTTTCAGTATACAGATTGAAAACTTCATTTCCCTCTTGAGAGTTCTGGCACCTCTTTTTTAAAAAAAGTTTTAGCAGTATTTTGTAGCAGACCCAATCTGATTCTTCATGCCAGGAAGCATATTTATTGCTATTGTAACTGCTGGGTGGAATGTGGTTTTACAGATTTAAAATTAACTTTTAAGAGATTGTTCATGCTCCTGCTGTACAACTCTGGCATAGTTGTGAACACCTGAAAGATAATCCATTTGCATTCTCTCTCACCTCCAGTACTTTCCAGAATTTTTTTTCACACTTTACTTTTCCTTCAGTGGTGCTGGAGGTAAATCTGTAAACAAGCTGATGATGCTGTCTGCTCCTCTAGTAAATAGCAAAAGGAATGTCACAGGACTATCATACTTAAGGGGAAGTATTATACAAATATTAAATTACAGTTGAGGCACTCTTGGAGCAATCATGTCCAAAGGCCTGAAGAATTTCATGTCTCATTCATTTTAGCTGAAATCTGAAGCATTTTACTCTTACTGTGTTTTTACGAAAGTGGGAGATGAATGCCTGCATTTTCCTCTTCTTTTCTGATGCACAAAGTTTCCATTATCCCATGCATACATGTCCCAAAATCAGCCTCCATATTTTTTGACATGTGAAAGGGTCTTCTGAGGTCTTGCAAACAAAAACAAAAATTATCTTAGAAATGCTTGAGTTTTCATAATTTCAAGCCTCTTTTGTTTGCTTCATGGGATAGGCCTAATGATTTGTCATTAAGATCTGCTAAGGGTGAAGTTACAGTACCATTTAGCACATGTAAAATGTTATCCCGAGGAGATATTTCATTATGGCTTTCTGATAGAGAACGTTTCACAGTTGGGGTATAGGAACATATATCTTGCAGATGTTTCCACATTAATGATGATAGTACAAATTAAAGATTGATATTACTCTAATATGAAAAGCCGTCAAGGTTGATCTAAATCTTAGAGGTGCAGTTCAAATCATACTTCAGGGCAGTTTCTACCTTAGATCAGGTCTTAAATTCATAGACAATTGTTGAAACAAACTTTAAGGATGATTGTTCTTTAAGAACAATAAAGGAAGTTCATTAGCTAAATACTGTTAGCTAAATACTGATTTGAACTGATGAGTATTTATTTAATGACATTGGAGAATGGCTTCCATGAT